ACCGCCAGGACAAGACGCGCCGGGGTGGCGGAGCTTTGGTGGGAGTCCCGGGCTCGTCCGCGGGGAGTCGGGCCTGCGGGGAGGGCTCCGTCCGGCCTAGCTGGCCGCGGTCCGGGAGGCGAGGGGTGGGCACGGGGCTGACCCCGGGCTTTGGGCCTGGGGTGGATGCGGGGCGCACACAAGCCCCGGCTGGCCCGCGCACAGGCCACGGAGCTCGGCGGCAGGCCCGGGAGCAGCCCCCCTTGGCCTGGGCCCCCTCCCACCGCCTCTGTCTATGGCGAGTCCCGGCGCTGGGGCTGCTGGTGGGGGCTTCGTGCCGGCCTCGTGCCTGAAATTCCGGGTCCTGGGCCCGGAATTGAACTTCCTCTCCCTGTCTGGCCCGCTGTGTTTTCGAGTATGAATTGTAGGTGTCTTGGAAGTGTGTGTATGCGGGTCTGCATTCCTACTGTGCATCCTCTCTGGCTGTGTGTGTAATTTATGTCAAACTCCATCTGTGGCTCCATGTGTTACTGTAAATTCCCCGAGTATGTCTGACTGTGACACTAGTTGTGTGTATGGGGGGGGGGCTGCGTGTGGCTGTGACCTTCTGTGTTGTATGTGTGCGTAATGTATGATCGCATCCCGTCAGACCCATGCGTGTCTGGTTGTGACTTTGGAGTGTGCGTACGTGTGTCTAGGTCCCCTGGTGTGCAGACAGCTGAGATCCCCTCTGGCTGTATGTGTGGCTGTAGAATTTGCCTCTGATTCCATCTGTAGCTCCAGGTGTCACTGTGAGTTGCCTCTGTGTCCAGTCGTGACTTGGTGGTGTGTGTACGCAGCGTTTACATTCATCACTCTGTGTCTCTGTGCCTACATTTACCTCTGAACGCATTAGCTCTTGGTGCAAATGTAAGTGACCTGTGTGTGTCCCTATATGACGTTGTGTGTCCGGGGCCTGGGGTATATGGCTGCAACCCCTGGGGTTGTGCCTGTCACTTCTGATGACATCTTTGGGTGAAAGTTCCTGTGTGTAGCCGTAATCCGTATGTGACAGTTCTGGATGTGCCTGGGCTTCCGTGTGTGCAGCGGAGACCCTGGGGGCGTTGTGTGTGTGAGGGCACAAAGAGAGATCCCTTGTGGCTCTTAGTGGGCCCGGGACCCTCTTTCCCGAGACCTGGGGTGCACCCTTGGCTGTTGGCAGCAGTAATGACTGACACTGCACTCCTGTTAGAGTTTGTAAACCATGTCGCACGCGTCATTTCCATAGCTGGCCGCTGTGTTGCTAAGCTGCGTCCGTGACCCCCTGGGTCCTTCGTGGCCGTGTGAGTGGCTGGGTTCTCTGGCAGCAGCCACCGCTGACCCCTCGGTCCCCTGCCGTGTTAGAGCAGCCCTTCGCTGTGTCTTCCCCACCGGGCGGTGAACACCGGGAGAGCCGAGCTGACCCTCTGGCTTAAGTTCACCTACACGGTACCTGCGTTGGCTGAGTTCTCTGTGACCGCTCCTTTACTTGTCTGGCTCTCCCCGTAGAATGTCATTTGCTTTCACCTCTTCTCGGAGACTTTCTTGTGGCCGTTCTGTGTGAATGTCATTTATCGGGAACTTTCTGTGGTTTCTGTGACCCTCTGCAGCTACCTGTGTGCATCGGGGACAGGCGTGTGTGTGTGTGTAACTTCTGGGATTTTGTGGCTGTCGCATACTTGCAATGCTGCAGCCGTGTGAATCTTTATGCTAGAACCCTGAGGCGCTGGGTGCGAGAGTGTCACCCCTGTGAGAGTTGTGCTGTGGGGCGGGGCGGTGGGGCGGCTTCTGGCAACGGTGGGAAAGTACCGTTTGCCTACACCGGCTGCATGTGACCCACCCCACGTTTCCCTTTTATGCACACCTGCATGTGCATCTGCCCCTCTTTGACCAGAGGGAGCTCCAGGCCTGTGTAGGCCCAGGAAGTCTGAAGAGAGGTGTCTGCAGGGGCAAAACCCTGTTTTCTCCCGAGTCCCTCCCCCCCCATAACAGTCCTCCAGCCACAGTGGGCTCGTCCCTTCCCTCTGCCGCAGCCTGCCTGGGAGGGCAGCCTCAGGGCCGTGCCTGCTCTCGAGCACTTCCTCTTCCTTCTACGAAAGAGCAAGATCTGGGGGCATAGGCCTGCGGCCGTGGGAAAGTAGGACAGGTAGAGGAGGGGTCTGCATTTCAGGCTAGAGAGGTGAGAAGATGAGGCAGGGGAGGAAAGTGGTCACCCCCTCCTTCAGAACCCTTCCGTAGCTCACCAGTGCCCTCAGGGGGAAGCCCAAACTCCTGACCTGGGCCAGAGGGGCCTGAGGGACCTGAAGGGGGGGGGGGGCTGTGCCCTCCTGTCCTTCTTCTCCTGCCCCACTGGCCACCTCACTCCTCAGACCCGCCAGGCTCAGTCCTGTCCCTGAACTCCACACCCCTGTCCCTAAAAACAGTGTTCCCCTGCTCTTTGGCCGAGCTGCTCTTCGTCCTCGGGCTCAGCTCAAGTGTGCCCTGCACCCCACTCACCCACCCACTTAGCCCTCCTTTGTGTCCGTGGTCCTCAGACTTGGGCATGCTTCCATGTCCTGGGCCCCACCCCCAGTTTCGGATTCAGGAGGCCTGCCGTGGGTCGCACAGGCCGAGCGGTGCCTGAGCTCAGCGTCTCCGTTTGACACGTGTTCTTGTTGCTCATCTCGGTTCCCCAACTGGAATGTCAGGTCCCCGCAGGCCGGGATGGTATCTGTTTTGCTCACTTCCGTGTCCCCAGCGCCTGGCGCAGGGCATGTGCTTCATGCATACTTAGCGAGTGAAGGATGGAGCTTGGGGTCAGTTTGGGCTCTGCGCCCCAGGCTGAGGTGTTGGTTGGGGCCCGTCGGCGTCAGCGTTTGTCTCTTGAGCAGAGGTGCGCTGGGGCAGTGGCAGGGCCTTGCCCTCCGTTTTAGTCCGACAGAACCTATTGATCAAACCAGAGTGCCTACCACGTGCTGGGCTTTATGTGCACTTGACATTGAACAACGCGGGGTGAGGGGTGCTGACCTGCCGTGCAGTTGAAAATTGGTGTGTACTTCTTGACTCCCTCCAAACTTAGCTCCCAATTGTTTACTGTTGACCAGAAGCTTTATCGATAACATAAGCAGTCGATGAACACATTTTTTTGGTATACTATCTGTACTGTATACTGTATTCTTACAATAAAGTAATCTAGAAAAGATGGTATTAAGAAAATCATAAAGCAAATAGCTTTACAAGACCGTACTGTATTTACTGAATAAAGTTCCCATATAAGTGGACCCGCACAGTTCAAACGCGTGCTGTTCAAGGGTCAACTGTCTATTACCTCACTTTCTCCCCGCAACAACCCTGTGAGGCGGATGCAGTGATTCCCGTCATGGTCAGGCCCCAAGGCACTGGGGGAGCGCGTGGCTGGGGGTCGCTGAGGGGGGGCAAGTCTCACACCTCCTTGGATCCCGGTTCTGTGAGGGGCGGGAGAGGGGCGCTCCTTCATTCCGTCTGCACCAGCAAATGCTCCGTGCGCCAGCCTCGTCCTAGACCCTGGGGATGCAGCTGGAAACAAAGCGCCTTCGCCTGCGGAGCGCAGAGAGAGACACGACAGCAGGTCAAGTGCAGGACGTGCTGTGGAGAAAGATGAAGAGGGAGCGGGATCGAGAGGTGGGGAGTGTGGTTTAGATAGAGGTGCGAGGAAGCCGACTTGAAGAAGCATCCCCTGAGCAGAGACGGGAAGGAGGTGAGGGAGCCCTCCCGAAATGTGAGATGGAGGGCATCTGGACAGAGGGGACAGGCAAGGTAGGAGCTGGGGAAGGGTGAGCAAGGGGTTGATGAGAGGGTCCAGAGGTTCATTTAGCTGGAGTCAGGTACGGCTGGCCCAGGGAGGGGGTCCCCAACCCGACTCAGGTGTTCATAGCTGCCCCCCTGCTGGCCACAGGTGGGGAGCAGAGTGGGGGCTGGGTGTCAGGGAGACCTGGGAGAAGGCAGCTGCAGCCGTCCAGGGGCCATGGCAGTGGCCCAGATCACCACCTATTTCATTTACTTACTTAGTTATTCTGTCCCACAAACTCATTGCACAGCTCTGACGGCAGTGCGTACCCTGGGTCCTGTCCTGAGCTGTGCTGGGGACAGAGCAGTGACCAGGACCTTGCCGTCGTCGGGGAGCTCACAGGCCTGCGGGGGAGAAATGGGGCTGTCGTGGGACAAGTGGCCGCCGGGAAGTAGTCAGGGCTGGGATGGGGGACGCAGAGGCAGAGTGGCAGCAGAGTGGTTAGCGACAGGATGGGAGCCCAGGGCAGTCCGCAGTGGGGGAATGGCGTGTGCTGAAGCTTGGAGGCAAGGGAGGGAAGTTTGAGCAGCCGAGGGGGGCCCCCGAGGTAGAATCATGCCCTGGCTTCAAGCAGCCGTGCGTCCTGGGACAGGTGGTTGGCTGCTTCGCGTCCCGGCGTCCTGCTCTGGCAGGCAGGCATGGTGCTACTGTCGCACGTCCAGGTTGCCCGAGGAATAAGTACTCCTACGGAGAGCCTGCCAGGGCCTTGGTACAGCGCCAGCAAGTGTCCCTTGGTGGCTCCCGCTCCAGCCAACGCGCAGAGCATGCCTGCAGCCGCCGATGTTTCTTGAGAGTTTGCTCCGTGCTGGGTACAGTTTTGGGTGCCAGGGACACAGTGGTGACTAAGACTTTCTTAATTCACAGCCGGAGGCAACAATAGGCAAAATGACCAGGCCATCCGGCTGAGTTGAGGTGGTGTGAGGGAGGCCGCGGGGCTGGGTCCCCAGGGCAAGAGGAGCATTCGAGCCCAATAAGACAGAGCCTGTCAGGCTGGGCTGTGGAAGGCCGTTCCAGGCGGAGGGAACAGAAGTGCAGAAGCCTTGACGTGGGAATGCAACGGGCGAGCGTAGGGACAAAAGGAGGCTGGGGGTGGCTGAAGTGGAGGGTGTGAGCCACACCAGGGCCTGGGGTGACCAGATGAGGACTTGGCCTTTACCTGGAGTGCGATGCAGCCAGAAGGACCCTGACGCGAGTTGGGCTCACAGGCTCCCTCTGGGGTGGGGAGCTGACAGCAAGGGGCGGGGATGGGGACAGGGAACCCAGGGAGAACCCAGGGAACCCTGCTGTGCTGTCCAGGAGGGCAAGGATGGAGTCTGGGCCAGGGCGCCGGAGCAGGGGAGATGGGTATAATAGAAGTAATGGAAATAGATTTTGGAGGTAGAGCAGGTGGGATGTGCTAACAGATTAGAAATGGAGAGTGAACAAGAAAAAAACTAAGCACAGGCTTAGGTTTTTAGCTCAAGCAATTGAGTGGGGAGGGGCTCCTCAAATATTTATTTATGAATAAATTAGTTTTAGTCTACGGCCATACCACCCTGAACGCGCCCGCTCTCGTCTGAATAAATTAGTTTTAAAAATAGCAAGTGTTGGGCGCCTGGGTGGCTCAGATGGTTAAGCGTCTGCCTTCGGCTCAGGTCATGATCTCAGGGTCCTGGGATCGAGTCCCGCATCGGGCTCCCTGCTCCTTGGGAGCCTGCTTCTCCCTCTGCCTTTCTCTCTCGCTCTGTCTCTCATGAATAAAAACAAACAAACAAAAAAAAAATAGCAAGTGTTCTTGAGAGCTCACTCTATGCCAGGGGCTACTGATGTATTGATCCATTGAAGTGTCTAAACAAGCAGACGAGGACATGTGTTTATCACCCATGGGTCGTAGACAAAGTCACTGAGGTGCAGAGAGTTAGGGAATGGCCCGCTCTGTCACACTGCTGGAAGTGGAGTCGAATGGGTGGGTGGGGATCAATGGCCTCCTAAGATAGGCCTGCCCCCACACCTCACCTGTTCCCCGCCCCAATGCCTCTCTTTTTCTCCTCCCCCAGCACCACCCCCCACTCCGGCCGGAGCACGCCAAGCAGCTCCCCATCTCTCCGGAAGCGGCTGCAGCTCTTGCCCTCGAGCCGACCCCACCCTGAGCCTGAACCAGGCACCATGGTGGAGAAGGGGTCAGATAGCTCCTCGGAGAAGGGGGGGCTGCCTGGGACGCCCAGCACCCAGAGCCTGGGCAGCCGGAACTTCATCCGCAATAGCAAGGTCGGGGCAAGCCCAGTGGGGTGGGGAGACGGGGAAGGGCAGGGACTTTAGGGGCTCATTCTGACTCTGCTCCTTTCTCTTGCAGAAGATGCAGAGCTGGTACAGTGTAAGTGTTGGGGGGGCCGGCTGGAGGGGAGACAGGGAGGGGGACAGGTGCTGGGCCAGGAGCCCCAAGCTGCAGCAGTCAAGGAATTGGGTGCTGGGGTTGGTGGACCTAGGGTCACATCCTGTGCTGCGGCTTACTTCCTGTGTGTCCTTGAGTGAGTTGCTTAACTTCTCTGGGCCTGTCTCTGGAGACACTGTCCCAACCTTACAAGGCTGAAGGGAGCACTCGCTAAGAGTCAGTGGTGCCGGTGGGTACCTGGCACAGTGGAAATCAGTAAATGACCGCTCTCATGATGGTTAGTCTTGTGTTAAGGGCCGGGGAAGACCGGGGTGGATGGGGGGGCTTCTGGGCACTTTGTGGGGCAGAAGTATAGGGATGTGAACCCCCAGTTGGGTTCTTACCCCCCCAACTCACCCAGATGCTGAGCCCCACGTACAAACAGCGGAACGAGGACTTCCGGAAACTGTTCAGCAAACTCCCCGAGGCCGAACGCCTCATCGTGGGTGAGTCCTGCCGCGCAGACCCCGTCCCCGGGCCGGGCCCTGAGCCCCCCGTGCTGCCCGCCCGCCTGTCCCGCCCGCGCTGGCCGGCACAGCGTGTGTGACTCAGGCGTCTGCCGTCTCTCCCCTCGGCCGCCTCAGATTACTCCTGTGCCTTGCAGCGCGAGATCCTCCTCCAGGGCCGCCTCTACCTCTCCGAGAACTGGATCTGCTTCTACAGCAACATCTTCCGCTGGGAAACCACAGTGAGCCGACTTGGGACAAAACGAGGAGGGGCTGGGGCGGGCCGGGCCTGGGCCTCTTCTGACCGGCCTCTCGTCTTCAGATTTCCATCCAGTTGAAGGAAGTGACGTGTCTGAAGAAGGAAAAAACAGCCAAGCTGATCCCCAATGCCATCCAGATCTGTACTGAGAGCGAGAAGGTGAGCCGGAGGACCTGCTGGGGGCTGGGGCGGGCGGCCTGTGGTCACTGGTCTCAGCCAGCCCCTCCCGTCCCAAGCCCTGTTTATTCTGCACCCTGAACTCTCAGATCCCGCGCTTTCTCTCTATTCCCCCGCCACCCCTACTGGCCTGCCCTAGGCTCCCGTCACCTCCGACCTGGACTCCCCCCCCCCACCAGCCCCTCGTCTCAGTCTCTGTGGCCTGCCCCTTCACATAGCTGCTCTGGGTAATAGTAATAGTAGAATTCTTCCCTCCCACATATCTGTCAACTCAGATGTCCCCTCTCCTTGGAAGCCTTCCCTGACGCTCCATTCTATCCTGATGATTGTTGCCTCGTGGTCCCAAGATGGCTGCCTGGCACCAATGACTCAGAAAGGAAGGGAGAGGGAATGGTGGGGAGACCTCCCAGCAGACTTCCCTTTGTGTTTTATTGGCCAAATGTGGATTAGGTGACCATCCCTCCTGGCCGAAGGAGACTGGGAGAGTGCCCTGGGCTTCCTCCCTCACAGCCCACCCACCCAGGGCTGTGCCTGTCTCCTGCCCTGCACTGTGAGCTCTGGGGGCAGGGCCAGGGGCCGTCTCCTCGTCACAGGGACTCCAGCATCGTCCGGTGCCAGGCTGGGCACAGGATAAACATTCTGTGAAGTGAATGACGGGACGAATGAATGGATACATCAGGATGGAGATCCCGGCACAAAGTGTGGGTGGTGATGGAGCTTCCGCTCCCTCTGGCCATGTCTGTCCCCCATGCCCTCACACTCCTCTCTCTCCTGCAGCATTTCTTCACCTCCTTTGGGGCCCGGGACCGCTGCTTCCTTCTCATCTTCCGCCTCTGGCAGAATGCGCTGCTTGAAAAGGTAGGTCTGGGTGAAAATGGATGGCGGACTGGGGGGGAGTCCTGGAGCCAGGAGAGCCAGAACTTGGGGAACTGGAGGGCCCCTTAGCTCTCCTCCATGGGCACAGGCCTGCCCTGCCTGCAGCTTCCTGTGTAGACCCCAGCAGGGGCTACCACGGGCTCTGGTGCCTGGCCTTGCCCCCACGGACACGTATCCATGGCCCTTTCTTCACCTCCACAAATCCAAAATGCTCTGAAAATGAGAAGGTACCTTTGTGTGTGCCGTAGCAAAATCCGACCCTGAGCTGACATGGTTATTTCTAGTCTACATCAGCACTCTCTAATAGAACTTTCCATTACGATGAAAGGATTCTCCATCCGTGCTGTCAAAGTATGGCAGCCACTGGCCACATGGGCCTGTTGAACTCTTGAAAAGTGGATAGCGTAGCTGAAGATCTGCATTTTTCATTTCATTTCATTTTGATTCATTTAAACTTAAATGGCGGCACGTGCTTCTTGGATAGCACAGGCCTATGTTTATCTCCATGTGACCGTTCTTATGTTTCAGGACAAAAAATACTAACGTGTTTGACTGGGGTACATCTTAGATGTGATTGTAAATCAACATAAAGTTATAGTATCTATCCAATATTGAATATGCCAGTGATTCTCAAAGTCTGTAGCTTCAGGAACCCTTTCTACTCTTTAAAATAATTATAGACCCCAAAGAGCTTTTGTTTAAGTGGGTTATATCTACCAATATCTGCTGTATTAGAAGCTGAAACTGGGGAATTCTTAACCACAACAATACACGAGCACACACTGCATGAGGCCCCAGAAAAAGACAGCGTCACATGTCACGTAGCCTCTGGAAAATTCCACAGTATACCAGTGTGAGAATAAAAGCGAAAAAGGAAAGTAGCATCTCATACTACTAGTAACGCTTAACCACGCTTACGGAAATGGTTTTGATGTTATGGACCTCCTGAAAGGGTTGGGGGACCCCCAGAAATCCTTGGGCCACACTTGGAGAACCTTTGGTACATAGTGCACTGGATACTAAATACAATACCATCATCATTATTGGTACCATATTACTACATGCAGGATAGGCACTGCATTATCTTTCTCAGGTCCCCAAACTTCTTAATCTTGACTTATGTCTTGCCCCAGAGGTTTTGAGTAAGGGCCTTTAGACTCGGCCTATCCCGATGGGCTGGCCTCCAGGCTCCCCGGCCACGCTCGCTGTGGTTGCATGAGTTTAGATAGGATACCGTCGGCTGCAAGTCACGGAAAACTCAACCACACGTGCTTTAAGCAAACAGATACTGAATTACTTCCTGAGTAACAATAGTAGCTAATACTTGGGGTGCTCCTGGGTACCAGGCCCTGCTCTGAGCATTGCAGGCATTAATTCACTTTAACTTCACAACCACCCTGGGGGGGCAGCTGTTTCACCAGTGAGGTGTGGAGGGATAGCCTTCCCGTGGTCACGAGGCATTTTATGTGGCAGAGCTGGGGTTCTGACCCGTGGCACTTGGGTTCTGTATCATGCTGACACTCCTCTAACTAGGGGTCTGGAGGCAGGCAGCCCAGGGTGGGTTTGAGGGCTCCCGTCCCTCGCCGATGTCATAAGGACCCCAGCTCTTGTTTATTCTTCCACACTGTCCGCCTTCTGCATGTTGATATTTTGTCCACATGCTTGTTGCCTCGTGGTTGCAAGATGGCTGCTTCGGCCGTAGGCATCATGCCCTCAGTCACATAAGTGTCCCAAACGTGAAGGAGAAAATGGGTGGATAGGAAGGGCACTTTCCTTTATCAGGGAGGGAAAGCCCCCTTTAAGCCAACTCCTCTTTGCATGTCTTTGGCTAGAACCGGCTAATAGGACCCCCCCAGTTGCAAAGGACGGATGGAAAACTTGGTGTAAACCAGTTATAATTTATCCCTAGGGCTGGGGAAGCTTTTCGCCCCAAACAAATTGGGTTTCTGCTGGCAGGGGGGGAGGGTGGCTAGCTGTCGGTGGG